CGCAAGCTAATTTAAAATTCCATATATATTATTCCCCAAAATATAATGGAGAAGAGGTTTTTTTTCATCCTAATAAGCTTATTTAAAAAAAAAAAGTATGTTTGCCTCTCTTTTTTTTATATACGAGTCACGACTTTTTTGATCCAGAGTGATTGTAACTTCGAGTCCTTGAATTGCGGTGGCCACGAACCGTAATGAGAAGCGAGCCAGACAGTCTGTGTAGCCGTAATAATGGTAATGGCGGCGCAGACAGACCAAAATTTTCTGCTGCTTTTTTGCGGGGAAATTTACACGGCTCAAAAGACTGCGCCAGAGGGTTGTTCAATCTTCGGCAATGCAGCGCCAGATAATTATCCGCTGCTCCCTTGGGAGGTTTGAAGCGACACGGATTTCCTTACGTAACCCCGATTCAAAATTGGAAAATCTGCACAAATTTCAAATTGTTGCTGTTTTTTTTTTTAATGAGAATGAGTTTTAACTGAAAAAAGCAAATTTTGAAGTAAAAAGTTGATATTATTTTAAATTTAAAACCTTTCTTTTATATTATTTAGTTCAAACATAGGGGAATATTTTTAATTATTTATTAGATTATTTTACTTTTTTACTAATTTAGAAATATTTCTTCTCAATTTCATTTATTTTCTTAAAATCTTCATTTTTTGCGCAAATTTATTGATTTTTAAAAATAATGGTGCTGAAACCAGGTGGCTTAAGGAAATGTGGTGGCCGATATGATGTATAAGCACAGCCTCTCCTTCAAAGAGAGTTTATCTCTCATACCTGCGCTTATGAGAGGATACAAATTACTCTGGCTGGCTTTTGATTCGCCCGAGCCAGCGCCAGACGGAAAGAGGAAGGCGCGCTTCGGCAAAAAAGTCTCTTGCTTCTTTTTTATTTCGCGCATTGTCTGCCGCCGCTTTTTATTATTTGCAGCACATCTCATTTGTGCGCGTCGCCATTGTGTGTGTGTCAACCGGTTCGGTCGCCGCCCGAGGCGATCCCGCGAGGACCGAAATTAATTAAAGGACTTTTGCATGATTTATCGCCTTCTTTTTTTCTTCAAAAACGTGCGTCGTTGTTGTTGTATAATTTGTGCAGCCCTGGATTTATATAATAAAATTTTAGAGCCGTAAATTGGAGCTATCTCTGGAGGGCATCTCTCGGAATGCTGTAAAATCTGTAACAAGAGAGCCCAAAAATCTCCTCTTGATTCGATCGAAACAAAAAAGATCATCCGAGGTTCTTCACCTGAAAGAAGAAAACGAATTTACCAAAAAACCAAAGATATTTTCTTTTGATATTTGAACAGGACGTTTCTGAAAGCAGCAGCCACTTGTTTTTTGCATCACTTTTGAGTCTGGCTGGTTTTGTCCTACATAGTTCTGGTCTGCTCTGCCGTTTCAAGAGTGCTTTGTCTGGCGCGAATAGAGAAGCAAAAAACTGCTGCTCACAAAGAGACGCTTTTGCATGCTCGCGTTTTGTTCCACGTCTTCATCATACAAAACGTGTGGTGTTTCTTTCCGTGCACTTGACACTATTTTCTGCGAGCCGCCAACACGCCTTATTCGACGACGAGTTGACCCCGGCGACGCTGAAAACCTGTTACTCAAGACTGCATCTTCCAGCCAATCTGCCAATGAACTCGGCTGACGTAACGCGACTCGAACTCATGCGTGTAACAAGCAAGTCTGCGTGGAAATGAAAATAATTAAAAAGAAGAAGTAAAGTTGCAGCCTGGAGGAATTAAGGGGAGTGGTGGCGGCCGATAGTGTAATTTTACTCCTTTATAAGGTTGTAAAAACGAAATGCTCACGCTGGTGGCGGCTGATAAATTTTCCAACGCCTCTCATTCAAACCTTAACAATTTTATGCGTGTTGATAATTACACCGGATTTTCTCCAAGAAGACAGAATTCAAGAGACTAGGGGCATAACTGCGTCTTTTGGTTTTTAGTTAATGAGGAAACATGGATGATTTCTTCAAATTAAATATCACCTTTCACGTTTAAAAGGTATTTCTGTCTCAGGCAATTGAAATTTGGAAATATTTTGCTCTGGATATGAGAATTGAGTTGTTATTTTCGTCAGATTGAGAAAAAACTTTAGCTTTTCGTCATTGGTGGCGCTGCGAACGCTGACTTTGGCAAAATCAGCGATTGCAGCGCCTCCAACGACCAAAAGCTGAGGATTTTGATCAAATTGACGGAAATACTCTTATTTTTTCACCTGAATAAGGTTTTCTTGAGAGTTTTCACATAGTTTTTTTTACAAGTTATAATATAAATTAAGCGATCTCTTTCTGATTAAAGAAGTTTAAATCATTGGAGTAAGTTTTTGAGAAACTATTTTTCCCATCTTTATTTATTCATTTTCCAGGAAATTTATTTTCTACTTGTATAAATTTAAACATTTCAGAGCGTGTTTGTGACAGAAGTGGAGGCAGGCTGACGTTTTCACAATTCGTTATGAGGATTAAAAGCAAGGCTTGGCTGCTCGCGTCGTGTTATGTTGATTGAAACAATCCTTTTTATCGCGAGGGGGCTTAACTCCGTTTCATTTGTTTAGTTAAAACGACGGATTTAACGCAGAATTTATTCCACGTGAATATACAAAATACCGCAGCAGCCAAGGGTGTCTCCTATGCATATGCATGGCGCGCTTTTTTCCACCCCGAGAGACAGAGAAGAAAATCAATATTGAGAGAGAGTGCGAGATCAAGCGGAGCGTGCCGAGGACACTCTGGATGGATCTCTTTCCTTTGCATCCTTTCGTGCGTGAATCCACTAATTAAAAGCAAACACGCCGCCGCTTTTTTTAGCTTTTTATCCCTTTCAAAACGCCGGCAATTTCAATCCGCACAAAACACAGAGAGACAAACTGGAATTGTCACATTTTTCCCGACTCGGAATTAACGATGTTTTTATTATCTCTTGTTTATCTCTGGGCGCTGTCACAAGCCTTCGGAAATAATGCACCTGCACGTCTCGCTTCTTATCTCGTCGAGAATCTCGTCGTTTTTCTCACCGACAATAATGAGCCATAAAATAAGATTACTCGTGCTGGTAAATCTCAATTTCCAACCAACTCCACTTTTAATAAACAAACTTTATATCAAGTTTGCAGCGGCTACTGATGCCCTTTTAATATCACGGCCAGACTCGTTTATCTTTTTGAAAAGGGTAAATGAAATTCTCTTTAAATGAAAAGACCGTCCAAATGAAGATGAGATCAAGGCAAAAACATTAAAGGACTTTTGCGAAAACAACATCCGCTTTTGACATTCATGTGCGTTTCGCATTTTCAGCAGACAAAAAGCAGCTTTCAGTGCGTGTTGCCCTTTTATATCACTGCTTGACCACAGTTGAGCGTTTTTTTTTTTTTTTTTGCTCAAACACGCACAGAGAGAGAGAACGAAATTTCGTAATGGTCTTCGGGTTTCCTCCCGGAAAGCAAGTTTATTTGCCCAGAAGGGTGGAAGGATTTGAAACATGCGTCGTTTGTGTGGAGGAAAAGGGCCGATCGGAGAGAAAAAAAATGTTGCTCAAGTGGAATGGAAAAATGGTATTAGCTTGATTGGGTGGGCCCGGCGATCGATTTTCTTGCCAAAGAATGTTTCCAATTTGCACAGAATTATTTGCATAGTAGGAGAAATTCAATTTCTGCGGCGCCAATTAGCCCAGGGCCATATTTTACCCAAATTACAAGTCAAGAAAGTCTCTTCTTAATATTTGCACTGCGGACGCGGGTCGGGGCGATGGCGTTTCTATGGAAACCCTTCCAGTTAGGTGAAACCTAATAATCAACACCGCATCGGCACTTGCGAGCTGCCTTTTCTGCTCTACGTGCAGATGCAGGCCGGGTTCGGCGTGAAAGTGTCGCCTGGCATCTCATTACGTGGTGGCAACGCAGCAATTTCGCTCTGGCGAAATATCAAAATAATAATAATCAGCTTTCTCGACTCCAAAGTTGGAATCGCTGCGTTTTCCTCCGCATTTGGCTGAGGATTGCAAGTTGAAAGTGAAAAGGAATTTTATTTTGAAGTTGGTTAAAAGATTATATCAAATTTATTAAATAATTTAAATAAATAGAAAATTTCAATTTCTGGCAATAAATTTATAATTTTGTTTCTATTATTTAATAAATTAATCAAATTAATTGGTAATATTTCCCTATTTTTTGAACTTTTTCTCCTCAATGTTATCCACAACAACAAAAATCAGCAGAGCTGGTGACATAACATATGAAATATTTTTCTTCTTCTTTTCTCACGATTTCCTCAGCGGCGTTTTCCGCCTCTTTTTTCAATTGGGCGGCCTAAAAATTTCCGACTTTCTTCTTCATCCCCTCTGACGTGTTCAGCTTCAGCTGCGACGATGCCAGGCTCATTTTGTTATTCGGAAAGAAGGGTCGGAAAGTTTTGGCCATCCAACTAGTGCCGCCGTCAGTATCACACAGATTGGTCTCTCTGCCGCCGGAAAAACTTGTTTCGTACCAAAGAACGAAAGAAAGAAAGGAGGCAATGGTGCAGCAGAAGCTTCATCTTTTAGCAGTATCCATAGCCAAGATTGTTGCAAACTTTTTAACAACTGGACAGCAACAGCAGTGCCGGCAAAAACCAGAAAGAAAGAAATCCATCCAACAACTGACGGCGACGCCGGGCTTTGCTTTTTCCCCGTCTCACTTTTTTCCAGAAGAAAATCTCGCACTAATTCTTTCTGCGAATCCGTGATGAAGCAAAATAAAATTCAGGGCAAAAAATGAAATTATGGAGAATCTGGAGCTCGGCAAATGGCTCAAATACATCATTACAATTTGTGAATTTAAGCAAATAAAATTTGCATGCGATTTCATTTATAAAATAATTCATTTTGTATCTAATTTCTTAGTTATATTTTAATTATGATAAGTGACGGTTCTAATTTTTTTTAACTAAACATTTAGGTTTAATTTTAATATCTTTCTTCAATTTAAAATTTAAAAAGTGTAAAAATTTGTACTTACATAATCGGTGAATTCTGTGAGATCATGCAGGCTGATATTGTACACGATGTTTCTGAAACAGGGAAATTCACAATGAACAAAATGACAAGGAAATATTGTAAATTTTCCTTGAAATCAAAAACCTTCTCTTCAGAATTTACAGAAAATTCCTTTCCTGCAAATGTATCAAATGACGTGTGTTGCTCCGAGCCAAGATGTATAAGTGCGCGCGCGAAGCTTGTTTATAATTTATCTAATTAATTAACCAATTCATTAGCAACACCAGCGCTGATGAAACGCCCGCGCTCGCGACGAGGTTGAGATGCGATCATGATGGAAACACTCCCCTTTCGCATTAGCCAGATAAATTAGCTGGCGTGAATTCATGCTCGGCGGCAATTAATTCAAACTTTGCATCGCTACTTTTATCGGTGCGCAAATGAATGAAGTTGCAAAACGTCTGTCTCGGAATTTACGGAGGCGTAATTTGGCCGAGAATTATAATTGATCAAAATCCGTGTGAGCTAACGAGGCTCGATTCACAGCTTTGAAAATAAATATTGAATTATTCGTCATTATTCAATTTGGAGTGGCCTCTCGTGTGTTGGTTAATTACGGTGATGCGCGACCCTGCCGAGAGCTCTTTAATTATCGCGGCCGGACTCCTCTTTCAACCCTGTATGCTGCGGTGTGTATAAAATTGTACACATCAAAAAGTTCAGTGTGTTTATTAAAAGTTGATTAGCTCCGGTTTCAAAAGCAACTCGACTTTCATATGAAATAAATTTAATCCTTTGACGCCGACAAAGGCAGTATTGGATTTAAAAAAGAGAAGAGGATCTTTATTCTTTGCATTACACGCGGAGAGACGAACGCGGCACTTGAAGCCGAGATGCTTCGCAACTACAAATCACTCGAATGGCTCACAATAAGAAAGAAAGAGAGAAAGAGCCACGCCCAGCATTTTATGCTTCTTGCCAGCGCGCGGTATTGTTTCTGCGCCGCGCAGGTGATTGACTCGGGCCACACACAGCCTGCCCTGATTTTCACAGATAATCAGCCGCGCTCATTTGCATAGATTAGTGATTTAGCTAATCCGCCAGTTGTCGTAAAATTCGATCCGCCCAGTTTGTATTCTTTCACAAGTGCATACCATAGCCTTAAATAAACCACGTTGTTGTCTAATATAAAAAAATAAATTTAAATAAGTCTTTAAAACAGAATTAAACGAATAATTTCTAATTTCAATTGTTTTAAAACATTTGAATTCAAAAATGCTTTTGATACTGATGATGAGAGGCAAACAAATAAAAGTTGGAACAATCGTGGAGTGCCGATTATGGGCATCGGAGAGAGACTTGCGGCGGCGGCGGCGGCAGCTGAGCTGACAGTGCATTTTCACACGCGAGAGATTTTTCAATTGAAACAAAGCACTCGTTTTTTTTTATTCATTAGAGAGAATTTCCGTCGAGTTCAATGAAACATGAAAATGCGTCGGTTCGCAGCGGCGAGTATTTCTCATTGTTGGCCCGGCGGACTGTGCGCGTTTGAACTCGGTTTGGTCCATTGGTCTTTGAAATGCTGCAGCCGGTTTGCGTGTGATGAAAAAGAATCACACTAGCTCGATTTACACTAGAGAGAAAAACGCGCGCGGGTGTTGAGGTGTAAAAGCCAAACTCTTAAGACCCTCGCAATGTTTATGGACCAGATTTGGCCAGGCCGGTCGGCGTCCCTTTTACAAGGATAAATAAATCTCACGCAGCGCCGTGCAATCTGTTTGAATTGACCCTTTGTGATCGGAATAAATACACTTTCAGCCAACTGGAAAGAGAGCAGAACTACCCAAAAGTTTTATTAAGTCTGATTCTAAAAACACTTTTAGATTTTTATTAAATTTTAGTTTTTGAAGAATTTCATAGATTAAAATCTTCAAAAATCCAAAGCTTTTAACATTAATTTTTTAGATTTTATTCAATTACATAAAATTCAACAGGAGGAAGAATAATTTTGTGTTGAAGTTCAGGAGAATTTTTATATCTCTTTCACCAACATGAGGCCAACATTAATCTTTCGAGACCATATTAAGTTTTAATTTAAATTAGATAATTTTTGGCGACAAAAATTACAATAATTGTTTTTTCACATTTTCATTGATTTTTTAGCTCTAGCTCTAGGTGGAATCATTTTAGAGAAAAATGGTTCAAGGAAAAGTTGCAGATAATCTAATTTTGCACATGTTTTGTATTCAAGATTTTCTTCTAAATCCAAAGCGGCAAAAGTTATGATAGCGAGAAAGGTTGAAAAATGAGGTTTTCTTCTCTATATTTTATAAAACCTCGTTTTTGAACATTTCCTCTTTTATAACTCTTGTCGCTTTCGATTTACAAGAAAAGTTTAAATGCAAAAAGTGTGCAAAATTTAATTATCTACAACTTTTGTATGAAACATTTTTCTCTAAAATGTTTTCCAGAAGAGCTAGAGATAAAAAACCAATTAAAAATGTCAAACAATTGACCTTTGTTCAAACAATTGAAATATTTGGTTCCACAAATTGTCCGATTCAAGAAAACTTGGTTAGTTTATTTAGCGCTGATTAAATTTCCTATCGATTGCTGTTTGTCGCATGTCTTTACAAGAAACAGAAAAATTACTACGAAATTCAAAATACGCCAGTTTTTTTTTTCAAAATAATCTCAGAGAATGCATTATCAAATTTTAGACTAGCACAAATTATTCCAGGTTGAATGTTTTCTTTCTTGAATATCCACTGACGTCACATTGCGTCATTATCATTCAAAAAGCGTGGCTTGAAAAGAGAGTCGCTGGTGCTGGATCTTAACTCATTTTGTTTTCAGCCTCATCCCGACGGCACTCACGCAGGATTACAAAAGCGAATCCCCATCGTTCCGTCCTTCCTTCCTTCCTTATGCAAAATAGAGACCTCTCATAAATTATGTGTGAAATTTACGCAGCCAAAGTGACAACGAGAATGAAAACGGCGCGTGAAGAAAAAAAACTTGCGGTTGCTCTCTTGTTTTGTTTCTCATAAAAGTCTCCCTTTTCTGCGGATGATGGAAATTCATGCGCGCGGCGCCAGCAGATGAATATAAAAAACTTGGCCTGCACTTGTTTCGCAGGAGCAAAACTCAATATGGCTCGCAGCTATTGTTTGCCGAGCAAAGGAGAATACATAAAAAAGCATCTTTTTTTTCGCCGACGAGGAAACGGGAAAAGGGAAATTGCGTGACGCAAAATTGGATTTGCAACCACTTTGTGAAGGTGTCAAAATAAACTTGATAAAAAGCAGCGCAAAGAGAGATCGAGACGCGAATCCATTACGAGACATCTGCCGATGCAACCATGCATGCCAAAAATTATCCCTTCGGCCCAAGAGGTCGAGAAAGGCCCTTTTCAAGTGCCTGCTTCCTTTCCTCATTTGCCGAGTGAAGAGGCTTTTCGCTTGATCAGCAAATTTTTATACAGGGCAAAATGTTTCGGCGAAATTCGTTGCCCAGGGAGATGAAAAATTAATTATTTTTTCAAAGAATTGCAATTTATTGAGCAAAATCATTTCATTTTTTGGAGGAAAAGGAATTTGCCCAAATTGAGTTTCGATCTGGAAAGGATTTGTGTGGAAAAATTGGATTTGAGATATGCGACGTGCACAGCATGCGAGTTGACCCGCAAAAATCAAATTTTTGGCCCCGATTAAATCAGAAGAGCAAAGCATGCTCAACAACATTCCGTCTTTTTCTGCAGCTTAACTTTGCCGTTTTCTTTTTACATTGTTCTCCAGTTTCCAGCGAGAAGAGACAAGGGCGGAGATTTACCCGCCGACTTTTCCACCAGCAGCGCAAATAATAAGATAAATTTTTTACCCGCAGTCGGAAATAAATTCCGCTGCTCGCGAACAAATAAAGGAGCAGATGAAACTTTGTACGCGTCTGTGTGGCGTGCAAAAAGCGTCGCGTTTCAAAGTGACGCTGCAGCACAGCGCAGAGAGGAGCAAAAACCGCGACGCCACTTTTATTATTCTTAACAAGTGCCAAAAATTTACAATGTGTTTTCTGGGACGTCGTAAAATCCGGCAGAATTTTATCTGATTCGAAACTCCTGCCAAGTTCAAAAAACTTTCTTTCTGGAGCATGCAAAAATTAAAGAGTCGCCGTTGTCACGTACGAAAAAAGGACAAAGAGGAATTAATTTTATGTTAATGAACGCGCAGGGTTGGAGATTTCTCTGGTCCCAACAAGTTTCGATTGTGGGCCGAGGGCCAAAAATAAAGCGAGAGGGTGTTGCCGTGGTTGCCAAGCAACCAGAGCAATTCAATCCTGCAGGCTCAAACCTTTCTTTCATTATTCCCTCTTTTTTTTTTGTTATGCGTATCAATATCAAAAGGATTCTTTTGTATTCGTCATTTTGATACAAAACAAACTCGGTCCATTTTGTGGTCGCCGTAATTTCGTTTCTTTTGTGCCAAGAAACATTCCACCATCATCATTATTAGCGTTGTCGAGGCAACAAAAAATCTGATTGCGGCGCTGACCGGTGCATGTAATTTTTATAGCTTTAGGTAATAAAAGCACGATGGGAAATAAAACATTTTTTGTTGCCGCCGCTGACAATTTAATCTCATCCGGCGCTAAGCAAGGAAGGGCAATTCGGATTAGGCTTGAAGAGGCAAAGCCAGTTTCGCCAGATCTTCTCCCCCTGTAATAAAATCTCGCTTTCAATCACGATCTGAGACGTATCAAAGGGTTGTTCAAAGAGGAGCGTCAAAGGATAACTTGGATTGTTCCTTATAATTCAGCTTTATATAATTTTGGCATGAACGATAATTCAATTAATTTCTATTTAGTCACTTCATAACTCAAATTAGTTTGCGATAGTTCATTTCTAATTCAGTTTTGATTAATTTTAAAGTTTTATTACAAAATTCATAATTTCTGATATAATATTGGGCTAATTTCAGCATTTTATTTCTACAATTTTCATACAACTTGGAATATTCTCAAAATATTCAATATTTTTTTCAATTTAATCAGTTATTTTAAATTTATGGACAGGAGGAAAACTTAAAATTTATACGAATATTGAAAAAATAGTAAATAACTTTTTGAAATCTTTGTTTTCTTTGAAGTTTGCCACTTTTGAATTTCGAACATATTGAGCCGCTCGCCGAAAACTTTGCATTCAAGTCGCGTCCGTTGCAAAGGTAAGCAAATTTATGTCTTCCTCTCTTTTGGGTTTTTGGCGCGCCGACTCTTCTGCAAAGCTCACGCAGGCGGCAAACTTATTCAAGTTCTTCTCTCTTTGGCATTAATACCCGCGCTGCATGTTTGCTCCTCTCAAAATGTATGAAACCGGCAAAAGCCGATTCACGTGCAATCAAGTGTGCACTATTTATTCATGGATATTATGATTGGCGGCGGCTCCACATAATGTCCGTCCGGCCAACCCTTTGAAGTGCCATTTGCTTATTAAAATCGCGCACCAACGAAAAATTATCAGCGCGTTGTTGACGGGCAAAGTTAATTACCGGTCTCTGGCCAAAATGGACTGGCCAAAATTCAGCCGCTTTTTGAATACAAAAAACATTCGCTCTCTCATTGTATCAATAAATTCCGCCTTTGTTTCGGAATCGCAGGGAGAAAAAAACGCCAAATTCCGGTTTATTTGATCATCCTTTTGGCACAGAGCTTTGCATTTTTTGTTTTGTTTGCGGGCGTAAATTGAATTTCGCCACCAAACAATAGGAGATGATGGTATTTCCCACATTCTTTGTTTTCTTTCAATTACATTGATTTTAAATTTTGCAAGGATTGACAAAAATTTTCAAACTGTTATTGAATTTTTTAAATTAAAAACAAGCCGGTGGAAATTGTGTCTTTACTGCCAAACAGAATAACTGTGTTCACGTTATTAATTTTAAATACATTTCAGACATTTATTTACAAAACAATTTCGTTTTCATTTGAAGAAACGTTTTTCTCCAACAAGCCTGAAAATAGTAATGCTGTGTTTGCAGAGACAACGAGAGACGCTTTCTTTCTTTCTTTCTCTCTTTTTTTCAACGAAAAGGGAAACTTGTCGGCTACTTATTTTTCAGCACGTCTTCAGCTCGCAATTTTCAATTTCGCGTCGTCACACCGAAAAAAAAAGAGAGAAGGAGCGAAAACGAGCTGCATGCAAAAAAGCAAACAAGATATTATTTCAAAGCCCGGGGAATGAAAATATAGACGGGATAAAGGAAGAAAGGGTGGCGGCGCAGTTTTGCTGGCACACGCGAGAGAGCAGGTTTTATCTGTGCGCGGCGTTGATTCATTGCACCCATCTATCTATCTAGGCAGGGTGTGTGGTGCGGGTTGCTGCCACCGTGCGATACAAGTCACGAACTCAGTCTCAACTTTCGAGTTTAATAGAAACTATGCTTTGCGTGTAGAGCAAGGCGCAAAATTTAAAAGAGCATTTTAACTTTTGGTAAAAGTTGGGACGCTTAAAATATGGATTTTCTGAGAAATCTAGTTTGAAAAAAGTAAATTTTGTTAAAAATTATTCAAAATAAATTACATTAATAATTTTTCGCAAATTAAATCGCTCGATTTCTTCGGAGAAGATTTATTTATATTAATTAAAAAAAGTTGTATGTAAAATTGTGTAAAATTTTGATTTTTCTTTTAGTCAAAACAATTTAAATCAAAATTAAAAATAAACTTTGAAAATTAAAAAAAAAACTTTTTCTTTTCAAGTCTTACTTTCACAAATTGTTTGCTCACTTCTTCAAATTCAATCTCGCCAAACCTAATCACGCGTCCGCTTCCTCCTTTTCAAATAAGATCCCAAAAGTTTTCTCTATCCGTCGCGAAGTTTAGATTGAAATCGGAAAATCCAGCCTCAGTGACGAAGATTTCACTCGGCGAACGTTGACTCGATTTAATTAGTTTTGCAACTTTGGTGTCGAATGTAAAGTTCTATGGCAAAAGTGTTTACGATACACGCGCTTAATGAAGCTTTGATTTTGACGCGCCAGAGCTAATGAATAATTATCAGGCCCTGCCTGGCCGGCCGACAAAACTAATTCGAGTTTTCGTTCGCAGAACCCGCGTGACGTCACTTGACGAGGTGCCATTTATTTAGCGCGTCTAATTGAAGCGTCAAACTGCAAAATTCGGCGACAAGCGTGAGAGGAAAATACATTTTGTGCGGTGAATATTTAATGAGCATATTAATTAGAGGATGGAGCGATAAATTGGCACCACTTTGGCCGAAAAGACTGCAGGTGTGTCGAGAGCACATCTGGAGCGAGCACCGTCTTATGTCCTTTTGCTTTCAGAAAAGCGAGACCACGCCTAGTTTAACGAGAGGCGAGCCTAAAAATAAAACTTCTTATTCCGAAGAAAGCAGTTAATTGTCCCGGTGTCAAGTTCAACACTCTTGTAATAAAAGTCAACACCTTTCAAAGAGACTTGCAAATCGACCCAGGCTTAAAAAGCAATAAATCGAGCAAAGATCTCAATATTTCTATAAATGGAAATTGAACACTTATTTTTAATGAAAAATCAGTAATGGCAACATTTATTTAATTGAGATATGAAAAATTTGTAAAAAAAAGAACTTCCATTAAAAAAAGTTAAATTTTAGATTTAATCATCACAAATATTTAATAAACTTGAACAGACTTTTTCCTTTTGAAGCAAATGCCTTTTTCTTCCACTCAATTATTAAAAAGCAAAAGTTTTAAGTATATATTTTCCTTTTACGTCTCAAGTTTTGCAAATAATTCGAATAAAATTCCAAGTAGCTGCGATTCGGCATCAGCAAGTCAAAGAAGGTTTTCTGCTCTCATTTTTGCCGCATTCAAATGTAAATTCCGACCGCGCGCAATTAAAATGTGGGGCTGCATCTGCTGCCAACCAACGAGATCTTAATAAATATTTATTCACCTGTGCAAATACTGCCGCCGCCGCGACACTCACACGCACGCCTCTCTCGGATGGATTTTTTTGCCAGAGAGAGAATTTCAATCGCCCTCTTTCTGTTTGCGGCCATATTAAATTTCAATCTCGACGCTTGATCTGCCGCCGAAAATAATAAAAAAAAAAAATGTTGGTGGAGCGCGGAGGTTTCCGCAATTTGCGCCCGGCGACGGCCACGCGTTAAATAATTCATTGTTTGCGGACTTGCCACTTCATCGGCTTTGAAAGGGGTGTAAAAACTGCTCTTGAATATTTAATGCTTTCCACCACTCGTACCGCAATTTCGGCGATCTTCGTGTCAAGAATCAACATTCGAACCGAAATGCAAATTTAGTTTCCAAATCCAAGGAATTCATTAATTCTGTAAAGAATAATTTGAAGTTGTAAATTAAATTAATTTAAAAATTTCAAATTCAAAGATATCTAACAATAACATCTGTTTTTGCAATTACAGAAAAATTAAAAAAAAATAATTATCATTGCTTATTTTTCTCCGCGAGTACAAACATTTTACTTTGAAAGAAATTCATGTAATTATTTTCAGAGTATTCAAAATATAAAAAATTTAGCAAGGATATCTATATTGTTAATTAAACTTCTCAATATTATCCCTGACCTTTTGATTTAGATTTTTCAATTTTAATTGGGGTGACATGAACGTGATTTCGTGAAATTTTTATCAATTTTGGTCCAGCCAATTTCGGGAAAACAATTATTTTAGAAAATTCCATAACAAACAATGTTGAATTTCAAAAATTCAGCTCTCCCTACAACTTAAATTGAAGATATCTTCTTGGAATTTAAATGTAAAAACCAAAGCGAATGTACAGAAATAAATTACATTCAAAATTAATCAAACAAGTTTGGAAATTGAATTTGATTATGATTATATTTTCAATAAAAATTTATTTCAAAATTTTTAACTTCAAACTTCAAACTGAATCGCAAGTCACGTCCAGCAAAAAGTCTATAAGCCAGGGGCAATTTCCAACGCCAAATTCTGCGACATGAAAAGCCAAACACTTTCTGCTAATCAAGAAAAGCAGTTTTCTGCTTTTTAAAATCCTTCGCAGCAAAAAGCAATTAAACGAGTGAGCGCATCTCGTAACAATCGAACACGAGTGCCGCCGTCGAGGTGGATCGGCAGTAAAAATAATTCAATGATTATTATGCGCAGTGCTGCGGCGGTAACGATAAAGATCGCCGAGCGTACATCATATTACGTCATGCGTGTGTAAAAATAGTGGTCTGACAACAGCAGCCGTGCCTTCGTTCGCTCGTTCGTTCGTTGACTCCCAAAATCAGACGCGTGACCCTTTGACTCTCTCTTTAAATTGACTTTGCCAATTGAATCCGCTCCGGCCGCTCCCCGAAGCACAAATCAAATTCATTCGGAAAGTAGATTTCCTTTTATTTCTCTTTCAATCACATCATAGTTGACTGAAAGATAATTATTAAATTTGAATTTAAAGAAAATAAATAAATACTGAAATTTTAATAAGAAAAGATTAAATTTTTTACTTGCCAAGCAAATTGCGAAGCTCATAATGAAATCAATATTTATTATTGTTAATATCTTTATTTGGCCTTCATTATTTCCTTATTTCTTTCGTAAATATGGTTTTATTTCCAAATCTAGATTTCAGCTTGTAAAAGGAGGATAAAAAGGGCTGTTTTCATCAGAATGGTAGAAAAGTGGAGTGGAAGATCGATGTGCGCCGTCGAAACTAATTAAAGGATGAAAATGAGACGGCGGAACGAGAGCCGCGTGGGCTCCTCTCTCGTCGGCAAAAATCCAAGGGAAAAAAGCTTACCTCGCGCCGACTAGCAGCCAGTTGTGGTCTTTCTGGAGTAGCTTGAAGTGGTCCTTGTGCGACTGGTTACCAAGGAACCGCTCCGGTCTTTCTTCTCCTGCAAACACAATACCAAACGTTGTGGTCAGCAAAAATATCTCATTGCCTCTCTTAAAAACAAAATCGCAGCTTTTTTCGAGGATTAAAACGGACAATGGAAGCAGAAATAAATACAAAAATACACTTTTCAGACGGTTTGATCAAAAGAATATGAAAAAAAAATCGTAATCTCGAGGCCGACGGGCAAATATTTTTAATTATTCAGACCTCATTTGGGGGCGCACAAATGAGGCATTGTCAAAGCTTTCCCCACATCTCATCACCGAACGCGCGCAGACAGCCTGCAGGCCATGCGGGGTTTGCTTTTTTTTTTTATTCATGCAATGTGTGCTCAGCGAGTGCGGGTGGCTTCGTTTATTTTAATGACATCACTTGACGCATTCTCTCCAAGAATATATTTGTTGGAAAAAAAAAAGGAGATACAAGATTGTTGAGAGCTTCTTCGTGTTTGATTAGGTTAATGTTGTTCCTTCTCCTGTGAGAATTATTTAACTTCCGATCGCGTCGTCGTCACCAGAGACGAATTTCGCAATCACGCAGGCTTGATTTAATTTCGCGGCCTCTTGAATAATGCTGCTGCGCCAGCACTCGCGGCCTGAATTATTCCGAGAGAGACGCACAAAAAGTGCTATCGATTTTCCGCAAATAAGCAAACTTTTCTGCGTCTCGGAATTCGAAACCAATAAACTGCTAAGAGACTCTAATTGCACGAATATCATTCTGTGTTCAATCATTCTTTTTTTTAAATGAAACAAGTATTTTTTATTTAATACTTCATATGATGAGTTTTTTTGTAATTTAATAATTAAAAAACCCAAATTATACTAATAAAAATTTATATTTTGTTTTTTTAATTCAAATACATGTATTTTCAAACTTGAAATGCTGACTTTGGTGATGTTTAATGTTTATTATGGTGAAAGTACGTAAAAATTTCATGCATCTTGAGAAAATTCCAAACCTTTTGCTTAACGGTTACAGAAAACATAAATCGGCTTTAACTCAACATACTTGAGCTTTTGGTCACTGGTGGCACTGCGATCGCTGTTTTTATGCTAGCAGCGCCACCAAAGACCAAAAGCTGAAGTTTTTTTCATGAGAAACAGCTGACTTATGTTTTCTTGCTATTGAGAAGCAAATAATCTAGGAATTTTCACAAGACAAACTTGAAATTTTGCAACCCTTCATAATAAAGAGCAATAAAATTCGCCTGACTTGGTCTTTCAAGCTAAGCGTTGCAAATTTCACTTTTTATAATTCTACAGTAATTATTCTGTGCACTATTTGTTATGGTAAAAATTTTCGCCCCAGAATTAAACCAAACATGGCATTTACATTCAAAATATCAAAATTATCTACTGGTGAATTAAAATAAATACGTTTTGTGTTTCTAGAGTGAATACCGCAGATTAAACAATGGACAAAAGGCGGCCGTGCTTAAAATTCAAATCATCGGACAAGCCAATTGGCCGGAGGAGCAGCAGAATAGCCGGTAATTAACAATTTGCTCCGAGGCGATTCGCCACTGCGTCGGCCGCCACGATAAATTAATTACCGCGGCCGTTCGTTGGCTGGTTCGACCGTGCAGTGCATTTGACCCTCTTTCAAAAACCGCAGAGTATGAGGTCCGATACCTAATGATCGGAATTAATTGAAACCAAAGACGGACAGTCGTAATGAATGTCCGCGGCAAAGAGAACAAGAGAAGAGTCCGTTCTCTCTATCTCTGGCCAAAGCATTGAATTCATCAACTGGCAATTTTCCTTTCAATTCAGGGAAAGCTATAATTGAAAACGTTGTATTTTACAAATTAAGAAAAACATCGTATTTGTCTCTTTCATTTATTTTGCATTTAATCGGAAGAAAGGGAATGAATACGGAAAACGAATTTGAGAGTGAAAGGAACAAGCTTGGCAACCGCGACAAGACCAAGTTGAATTTGCAGAAAAGCGCGGCTGTATAATGAAGATGGCGGAGTCGCACTTAGGCGAGCAATTAGTACGTCGGCGCCGAGTTTTGCATCTCGCATTTGCGCGTGTTGACAAACGCACTCGAGCGAAATTCTCCGTCTCTCTGTGTCGGCGGAATTAGGAATGCAAGCCCTAGAGATTTAATTTGGTAGAATAAAAACGCAATTATTCCGGGCGTGCCGGGACAAATTGTGCGCGCAGTAATTTTCATTCCATTAACCTGGCCCGCCGAAAGATCCTAATTCGGCTGCTGCATCTCTGCAGAGAGCGGCGAGGGGTTGCTAAGGCACGCATGGCGGCGCACGCTGCGAAGAATTTCCTCCCATCAAGAGAAAGCGGCCCAAGATTTATTTTGCTCGGAGAAAAATCGAACCCTTTTGCACACGAGGATGCCGCTCGCCAGCACTTAAGACCAGGGACGCCACAATCGCTCCAAAAAAGAATTCAGACGGAAATTAATTTTATGAAATCTTAATGGAAATTAGTTTTCTTTCATAATGAAAGTTTCTTTCGTTCAAAAATTAATAAAATAAGAAACATTTTATAAAAAATTCAATTCGAATTTATTTACTATGATAATTATTTATTATTAAAATTGCGCGTTCTTTACTGATTTTAGTATAATTATTGCAAGATATTGTGTAAAAATTTAGAAAAATGAATTATAGATTATGAAAGATTTTTATTAAACTTTTAACTTTAGGCTCAAGTTGGTTTCCCTTTTACTTTTGAGGAGAGTAATTTGGCCCGTTTAAATTATAAAAATATCGATTCTTTTGAAGACGGCGGGCGGCGGGTGGGCGCAATGAAAGGCCTCGCGCGCGCGTCAAAAGACCCTTGTCTTGGTGCTCTGGTGTTTTGGTGCGTGTGCGAAAGCAGCCCTCTTCATGTGTGTGTGTGTGTGCGGCTGTTGTGCTGTTTAATTAAAACGAGGGCGCGCAACCGAGTGCGTTTGTGTGCGTATCACTCAGAATTGCCTCGAGCCCTTTGAATAATTAAATGAAAGCAACACATTCTCGCAAACAAAAATCTCAGAAATTTTCTATTTCAATTTAGCGAGAAAAACTTTGGCCACTTTTGAAATAAAGTTAATAATTAATAAAGAAGAAAGAAAGGACAAGCGGAGGCAATTTCTTCCTCTCTTTCTCTCCTGAAGGGAAAAATTACTACCTTGGGAGCTCCCAATTTTCCAACAAAATTGACTCGGCTCCGCTGCTACTTGTTGTTTTACCGCCGAGAAACAATTTTCTGTGCCAAAGGTCGCGCCACTCATATCGCACTTTCCAATTTTATTAATAATTCACCGCCTTTTTACAGCTGCTCTGGGCAAAAACTTTTTCCCTTTCGGTCCGACTGCGGCCCTTATGAGATTTTCCAACTTTCTTTTCCGAATAAAAAAAATGGCAGTCTTGTCTATCAAACGTCACTTGCAGGCCTCGTTTTGCGCAATAACCGCCGAAATAAGGCCCCCTTATTCTATTATTACGCGTCAAGGATGTCACCAGAATTATCGATCCTTCTCAATAGAGACATTAATAAGCCTGCTCGGAAATATATGAGACAATTTTGACGTCAACAGCTTTTGCAATATTCAAATATTAATACGGAATTCCTTCAAAAACGGATCGGTATGACAATAAAAACTTTTTCTCCTTCCTTCTTAGGAGTTTCAAAGTGGGTGCATGTAAAATGCATGCTTAAGTGCAGCGAAAAAAAGGGAAAAACTTGGCAGCGCAATAAAAACTTTTCTTGTATAAATAAGGAATGCTCCACTTGCTCAGAGTGATATTGAAGGAAAAAAAGTCCATCAATTCCTTTTTAAATTGCTTCCAGTGAACTCGGCGACGCATCGACACGGAAAGATGAAAGAGCAGAAGAAAAATCAAATTTCAAGAGAGACACGATGTGCAGGTTGCATACCTTGTCTTTGCAATATTTCTATAAAAAATTGCGTGAAACTAAAGACAAAACATAGAAATTTAAAATTAAATAAAAATAATAATAAACAGTTAAATTGTGGAAATCGTGGCAAATTGAAAAATCACTCTTGTTGGAAGCAGATCATTTATTTACCAGCAGCAGCAACCATTATGCAAAGCGAATTAATTCAGCGTGCTGATTGCTAGCTTTACAAGCAATTAAACAGTTTGGCTGCATTAATCTGCCGCCGACATTATCCCCATCGGCGTTATTTGCGCTCCAACTTCACCATTCTTGCTGCAACATAGTCAAAATTGGCCGCTCGAGTTATCTTCAAAACGACCGAGATCTATTTATTAATCCACCTTTTAAATTAAGGCGAAATTTATACAAAGTTTATGTTTTACTTTTTGCCATGATTATATAAATAATAAATCAGATTAATTTATTTGGAGAGTGGCGTGTTCCGCTGGCTGGTCATTTGGATCGATTCGGCGCGACTCGTAAATAATAATTTAGCAGCGATAAAACTCGTAAATTTTTCATCCGACATATCAAAAGCCCAGCGGGGAGGAAATCTGGAAATATTTAAAAGTTGGCTTTCCAATATTCTGAAGAAGGAAATGACCATGGAAATGAAGAAATCGGGCTTTTCCTATTTCATGAGCAAGAAAAGTACAAAAAATCAGAAAATTTAATAAAAACCAAATTTTTTCGAGTTAGTTCGTTAAACATTAAAATTCTTATGTTAAAATGTGGTGTTTTTTTATTACAATTTTGCTGATTATTTGTATTTTTCTTGCAGGGTCGCAGACTGTGACCGATACTGATTGAGCCTTTTTTTTTATAAAAACAATTTTTAAAACGAGGAAAGCCCGATTTATTTAATTCCATGGTCTTTTCCTTGAGTGTCAACTTCTTCAAACAAAAGGAAAAGACCATTTTTAATTTCATTTCCAAGAGCAATTTTAAATATTCACTTCCTTGTTTAAAATAATTGAACCTTTAATGACTCTCTAATATTTTCACTTGAGCACCTAATTTTAAGCTTCAATAAGAATTTCAAGTAGGAAAGCAGCCGTATTGGTTAAATAAATCGAAAATAAAT